GAGCTGATATCGGGCTCCAGTGGGAAGAGACTGCTTTGAAAATGATGGCAGTGTATGTGCAAATGTGCTTGACACACTGGATGAATGTATGGATTGTTGAGAAGAGATGTAAGAGCTCCCAATAAAAGTATTTTTAAAAGCTTTACGGCCTAGAAACCCTTGGAAAATTCTACTCTGCCCTTCAGGGTCACCATGAATTGACTCTGGCAATGAGTACAATGGCAATGGGTACAGATAACATTTGCTGGGAAGTTGGTATTGTAAGTACATTTGCGTTTACAGAAAGTACCCGGGGTATGAACAGCTGATGAATGGATAGCTTGTACTTACCCTTTAGTGCTCGGTACATTTTCCTTCTCTTAGCAATGTGTGAACCCAGTGGCTGGCTGGCTGGATTGTGATAAGAGCTGTGTGAGCACCCAGTAAAGATTAAAACGAAAGACCTGTGTGAACCATCCCCTGCTCACAGCAAGTCCTTCCTCACAGTCTCCTGCACTCCGCACTCCTGGACAGGGCTTCCAGCATTTCCTTTGCAGTAAAGCAAGCCTGAATCAGAACCATACGCCCCGCCCAACATACCTATGACGTGGAGACCCTGGGGGGCGGGTCTGCCGTGTAACCAGGGAGTGCCTGTCTTCCTGCGTGGCCCTGATGCATGTTGTTGGATGTGGTGATGAATCTCCATGCTTTAATGATCTCTCTCTCTCTCTCTCTCTCTCTCTCTCCACAGACCTTTGTAGTATTAAACAGAGGGAAAACTCTCTTCAGATTTAGTGCCACGCCTGCCTTGTACATTTTAAGTCCTTTTAACCTGATGAGAAGAATAGCTATTAAAATTTTGATACATTCATATCCTTTTCTGCAGCATGCGCATGGTTGCTCGTGTACATGTCTTGGTTTGGACCATTATATCTGGTTGTTATCAACCAGTTTTTTCACTGGTTGTCTACCCGACCAGTTCCGAGGGCTATGCCTGTGCCCCTTGAGCTGAGCTCCAGCAAATTTTGTTTTCTTTAGATGATAACGTGAGGATCTTGGGGTTCTACTAGTTTCAGGGAAAAGAACCAATGGGGCCGGTAGCCATTTGTTCCCGTCTTCTGTTTAAGTGCTCAGAGTTTTGTAATGTCACCCAGTTTCAGGGCATCCGACTCTTTCGTGCAGTAATACCCAGTTTGAGTCGTTTTTGGAAGTCACTCCTGGAGTTGCAAGCAGTGGAAGGCATGAATTAGAGGCCTGCCTTGGACGTTTGAAAATTTCTCAAGCACTGAGCTACTGCCTCAGATTCAGGGGCTTTCTTGGTCCAGATGTTTAGATGGCTAGGAACCATTTCAGGTATTTACTCCCCTTACGTAGAAAATGCTGACTAATTTGCATGGCCGGACTGCTTCCATCTCATTACTCCACGGGAAAGCCTGTGACCGATGAAAATGAGGCCGCGTATGAAATGTGTCTGCTTTGGGGGAGGGGTAGACGGTGTGTATTTTTCCCTTGACTCTTCTCTACAGTATTTAGCATGATCATTATGTGCACTATTTTGACCAACTGTGTATTCATGACTTTTAGTAACCCTCCCGAGTGGTCGAAGAATGTGGAGTGAGTAGTTCATTTATTTATTTGTGTGTTTAAAACTTTTCATTTCTTGATCTTGTCTTGTCATACGCTATCCATCAAGGAAAACTGTCCATGTCTGCCTATCTTTTTTAACTTCATTGAGAGGGTGAGAATGCAGATGAACTAGTCTTACAAGGCAGCTCCAGGAAGATAAAAAATCCTCGGAACCCTCCACTTTCTCTGCTGTCCTCCCCTGGCCGCCCATCACCATTTGGGACCTTCCACTCCTGGTGAAACAGAATCCTTCTGCAACATTCGCTTTCTTTTCCTTTTGACCGGCTCTAAGGTTAAATAAGGGGCCTGGTTAGCATGGTGGTTACACATTAGGCTGCTAACCACAAGATCAGCAGTTCAAAACCACCAGCTGCATCAAGGGCAAAAGATGGTGCTTTCTACTCCTGTAAAGAATTACCGCCTCAGGAACTCACAGGGGGCAGCTCTACCCTGCCCTCTAGGGTCACCACTAGTGAGGGTTGACTCAGTGGCAGAGAGTGTGGTTTTAGGTTAAAAAAAAAAAACCCTTAAGAGCCCTGGGAGCATTGTAGATTATGAATTGGGCTACTAATTGTAAAGGTCACTGGCTCAACACCACCAGCTGCTCCGTGGGGGTGGGGGTGGGGGCCAGGGCCAGGTGGGGCTTTCAACTCCTGTAAAGAGTTACAGCCTCAGAAACCCAAAGGAGCGATTCTGGTGCCCTGAGGGGCCCTATGAGTTTGAATGAACTTAATGGCAGTGAGATTTTGGCTGCTCCTGGCAATATGGAGTTTCATCCCTGCAATACCCATCAGGACTCCACATTGACCCAACGCTCGGTCTGTGCGCTTCCATTCGTTCCCGTCACGGCATGCCTTCCTCCTCCTCACTCCTTTTTGTCGCACTGGCCCCTGTCTTTTCTGTTTTGTCTCTGTTCCCTGAAACCACGCTCCAGGCAAGCGTCACTTTGAAACGTTCACTTCAAGTCTCCTGTTCAGAAATCACCTCCGGTTCTCCCATTCCTTTGACAGGTACACATTCACGGGGATTTATACGTTTGAATCACTAGTGAAAATTATTGCAAGAGGTTTCTGCATAGACGGCTTTACCTTCTTACGGGATCCATGGAACTGGCTAGATTTCAGCGTCATCATGATGGCGTAAGTCCGCTGCTGACTTCCTTCATGTGTGGGGCGGGCACGTGTGTGTGGGCGTGTGGGGGCGCTTGTATGACGGTTTGGAAGAGGAAAGGCCCTCTGGGTGTGCGTCTGCGTGCACTTCTTTCTGGGGAGGGCCCTGGTGGGACCGGTAGTGACCGTATCTGTGTGAGAAGGTAAACAGTGAGACTGGAGGTGATGTCCATCGGCACTCCCTCAGGCGAAGGGGCTTCAAAAACGGTTCATGGAAAATGGAAATGAAAAGATAAAAAAATTTTCCACGGACTTTGGAACCTAACATTGACTAGGCTTTGCAGGCCCATCACTAGGGGAGCCCCTGTGGAGACATGGGATTTCTTAGCTTGTCAATCTGAAGCTGAAAATCCATTTCCCTGATAGGTTAGATCACCTGTAATTTAATAAGACTGGCCAGTGATGCAGACTCTAAAGCGCATCAAAACATTAGCCAAGGAATCCAAACCAAAGAATTACCGGCCAGAATTGACAGCTCTGGCTAGAGACCAGCCTAACTCCACATTGGTGTGCTAGTGGCGCCTAGTGACTCGTGTGGCTGCAGTTAGTGACAGAGAGCCCTATGGGGGCGTCCTGCTGTCTTTCTTCTCCAGGCTGGGTTAAAGCTCGGGCTTGGTCGGGGCTGTGGTATTGCAGATAGGAGGAAGACGGGGCTTTCTACTCCGGTGAAGAGCTACAGTCTCGGAAGCCCACAGGGGCGGGTTCCACCTGCCCTATAGGTCCCTGCGGGCGGAATCGACTGCATGGTGGTGCGTTTGGCGCTTCCGAGTGATGTTTCGGGGCTCGGGCATGTCTGCATGCACAGGTGTGTAAGAGAGAAAGGGTGCATTTGTGTATGTGTGGGTCTGGGCATCTAGATGGGTCCCAACTAGAAACATGGGAATGCACAATAGCCACGGGTGCGTGAAACTGCAATGTTGACTTTCTTTTAAGACAGTTTCTAGCATCCACGTCTATGAATACAAATTGGTGTTTGCTGAAATTACGTGTGCCCTTGCCAGGCCCAGAGCGGGTGATAACACTGGCATTTAACACATTTTTGTCCTGATGCCATGAGCTGGATTTTCCTGATCTGACTTGACCTGCAGGCACAAAAAGCCGCGTGCAATTCTCAGACGAGTCTTTTAGATATGCAAGTCATAGCTTGTATGGAAGGCCTTACGCGTTTTTGCCATGGACAACTAAAAAGTTGTTTTAATGTAGATGTATTTGTGGGGCTCTTGGTTCAAAAGGATGTCTCCTTTTCTAAGAAATCAATCCAAAACTTGGAGCTAAACCCTTGGCTTTCTTTTTTTTTTTTTTTCCCTGATGGCCCTGCAGGGTAAGCACTGGACTGCTAACCTCAGAGTCTGTGGTTCAAAGCCACGAGCCACTCTGTGGGGGAAAGCGAGGGTGTCTGCTCCTAGAAAGATGTACAGCCTCAGGAACAAGGAATCAGAATCGATGCCAGTGGCTTGTTGGGTTGGTTGGTTTGGGGTTTTATTTTAGTTATCCTTTTTCCAATAAAGAAAAACAATGAAATAGGCTCAGAATAGAGACAGCCCTGAAGGGGATGAGCGTGTCACCACACTGATTAAGAGAGGAAGCCCCAGGGAACCCTGGTTACATCAGTGCCTTCAGATACACTCGAGTTCTCCTGGCCCAATTTAACCCAACAAACCAAGTGTTACTGAAGCTATCTCTGTTTCTAAACTACCGCCCCCCCCACACACACACCGTAGGAAAAAATGAAATAAAGTCATAGCTTGTATGTAAGACCCTTTCTCTCCCCCATTCCCAACCCCCTGCCCAGTGGTACCATTACAAGTTAACTTTGGTTTGATTCTGCAGGTATATAACAGAGTTTGTAAACCTAGGCAATGTTTCAGCTCTGCGCACTTTCAGGGTTCTGAGGGCTTTGAAAACTATTTCGGTAATCCCAGGTAAGATGGCGCGGGGTTGGTGTTAGGTGTGGGGTTAGGGCCCTGACGTGACGTACTGTACTTTTTGTTTTGTCGTGGCTTTGTTTGTTTTGGTTTTTTTTCCCCCCTTTGGTGTTGGTGTTTGTGTCTGTGTTTGTCATTGGTGTCTGTGTGTGGCCTCCCTTACTACAGATATGTGACAGAGTTTGTGGACCTGGGCAATGTCTCAGCGCTGAGAACATTCAGGGTTCTCCGAGCTTTGAAAACTATCTCTGTAATTCCAGGTGAGAAAAATTGAACACCAAGCTGACCGAATTTGCCTCATCTCCTCTTCCCCCGCCATCCATTTTATCCAAGCCGTGGCCTTGCATTGCATGTCTTTCCCGGGAGAGGGTCTCTGGAATGGCTCCTCGGACAGTGCTTGCCAGGCATGCGGCACCCATGCCATCCACGCTGTTTAAAAGCACGTGCTTAAGGATCACTTAGGAGGCCTCACCGTACTTGGGGGTGGCGGGAAAAAAATTGTCACCAAGCTCACGGTCTCTTGGGACATGTCATTTGCTTCCTTGCCTCATGGAATTACAGTAATTTTCACCCTCCCCATCACTCCATTGCCTGTGTTTCAAGACCTCCTGTCGCATGGTTTGCTGATGGGATGTCATTCAAAGAATTCATGGTACTTTGACTGTTACTGAGTTTGTGGGACGAGTAAATCACAGAAGAGACTGACCCCGATCACTAGCCAGCATTCCCATACAGTCAAGAGCCTGGGAGTTAGCGGACGTCCCTATTGTTGTCTGGCCCGCTCCGCAGCTGCTCCCCTAGAATGAGAGCCAATAGTCCCCTGCGGTGCTTACACTCAGAGACGCTCTCACACACAGTTCCCGTGCAGACTCCCACAGGGGCTGTTAAAGTCAAAGGTAAGAGACGACACCATGCACGGTATGGCGAAGCATCCAATGTGTGGGCAGCCAGTGGAAAGACCGGAGCTGGCACGAAGAGAGGACTCGGTGCGGGCGTGGAGGGAGCTGGCCCTTTGGAAGCTGATGGACCCCTTTGAAAATCAGAGGAACGTTCCCAGACCCCATCTTTCCCAGAAGCTCAGCCCCAGTTAAGATCACTTACGAATTTTAATGCAAATCCTTGCAACTGAGCTAGGTAATACTATGTTCCCGAGGACCTTGCTTGAAGTGTGGATTATACAGGTGTTCTGGGGCTTCTACCTAAACCTGTGTTGGTAGTGGTCGGCTTTCCGTCCCCATCCTGGGGATTTTCGAGGAGGACTCTCCCCAGAGACCAGGTTTCTTGCTGCAGTTTGTTGAAACAGCAACTATAGAACAAAGTCGCCCCAGTCTTGCCACCTGGTGGCTTTCCCCACCCCCCATGTGGCCAACTCAGAAATCTGCCAGCTGCCTCCTCCTTTTCAACATGATCTAACTATCCAGAGAGAGCAGACTTGGAACCACTGGGCGGCTACAGCTCGGTGTTCCCATTCACCAATTTGGGCCAGGGAGCGGACAGTCAATCGTGCTTGGAAAATACGCAACACAAATGCTTTTGTTTTTAGCAACAGTCGCTTGCTCATTACCAACGAGGGACTGGATGTTCAGACAGAGTTTATCCTTCTTGGCAAATACAACGACAACCCCGACACACCAAGATTTAGTTCCTAGCCATTTTAAATGCATTTCACAGGAAGCTCAGCTCGTTCTCCGGGAGCCTCGCACTGCTCCGCAACGGGCCCTGATGCTTCCGCAGGTCTTGTCTTATTGTTCAGGCATCTGGAGTGCCAGGTCTCTGCGTCCCAGTTTCTCTGTGGCCTGTATCTCCTCCTCGGGCCCCTTTTAAACACAAGCCCGAGATTTCTGCTCGCCCCCTCCCCCAGCCCCCTCTGCAAGGCATCTGTCTCTGCGTGTTCCTGTGATCTCAGAACTTCTCTTCCAGCATGAAATTGGAAAGCTGCATTCTGTTCACAAACTAGGGCAGCACATGCCATCTCTGGTTGAGCGCAGAGCTTCTGCCGCTGAGCCACCACTCGCTTGTGACCACAGCCTTTCTGCAGCCTAAGTCTTGACTGCTGTCGCTTTTTCATCTTAAGACTCCAGGTGCGCACACAACATGGACACACATACCCACCTACCTGAGGGCGTCAGAGAGTTCGTGGAAAAAGTCCATTCCCTTCC